GTCCCTCAGCAGCGTTCGGGGCTCGTTCAGCAGCGGCGTCACCTCTTCAGCAGCGCCCAGGGGTGTCACAGCCTCAGGGCTCCAGAGGGCACCGGAGCAGCCCTACATCTGCTGCTGATTCCCCTCAGTGAATTTTGGGGCAGAGTCTCACGCACGGAGTGACTCTCGAGAAGACTCTGAGGGTTGAGGACCCCAGTGGCACACAAGCGCTCTCTGCTCTCTGTTTCACCCTGTCCAATGCAGCTTCCCAGGCCTGAGCTCCTCCGGGGCTGCTCCATCCCCCTTTTGTTTCAAGAAGAGTTGGATATTTTGGGTTCCTAATGAAAAAGCCACCATTGGTGCTACACAGGGACTTTCAGGGTGAGCACAGGCCACCTTGCCCTGTCCCTTGGGGCTGTCATCAGGACAAGATGTGTCCCGCAGCACTGCCCCCCCCCCGGCTGTCCCACTGCCGGGCTCCCTTCCCGGCTGCGGCGCTTCCAGCCGGGCACGGCCGCGGTGAGATGCTCTTTCAACACGAAGATCATCTGTCTGTGCAGTTATCATCTAGTTTGGCGATCATTTTTGTCCCTGCCTGTGTCAACTCTTCCCATGGCTTTCGGACATTCCCAGCCCCTTTGTCGCAGCTCAGCTGCCCGGGCGCAGGCAGGCGTGTGCTGCCTGCCCTCCCCTGCCCGCTCCAGCCTTGGCTCCGCAGCAGCCCTGGCCACCAGCCTGGTCCAAAGCACTGGCCCCATTTCACTTTGGCTTCTTCTTGCACTTTGCGAGCAGTGTTAGGCAGCAGATCTGGTGGGCACCTTTGGCTTTGCCTCTGGCACCTGTTGCTTTATAAATGGCCCTGCCCTCCTCTTCCCCCTCCTCCTCCTCAACCCAGGGTCGCAGCTCCACTCCCACACCGGCCCTGCTCTGCTGCTGCCCAGGCTGCAGGGAAATGCCCCTGCACATCACGCTGCTCCCCGGGACTGCGTCCCCACCTCCCAGGGACACCCCCGGGGCCACGGTCCCCTCCCTAGCCGGGGTCACTTACGGTCCAGAGGTGACGATGACACTGCGCACCCGGTCGAAGCCGCGGTCGCCCAGGTTCAGGCATTCGCTGGTGAACTCCATCTGCCTGCCTTGGAAGTTCTCCTGCTCGAAGACGACGATCTGGGGGTGGAGGGAGAGGGTCGGAGGGGGACAGGCACGCTCGGGAGGGGGGACAACAGGGCAGTGCTGCGTGTCCCTGTCCACTGCCCCACGCGTCCCCCTCGGCTCTCCAGGGCTTCCTGCAGCTTTCCAGGTCTGGAGCCCAGGCCCCGAGCTGGGCTCTGTGCGCCAGCAGCCCCTTCCCAACGGGAGCGCAGGAAGGTCCCCTCCTGAGACCGTCCCTGCCCCGAGGTGGCCTCATCCTGCCCCCAGCTTTGCTGCTGCAAAGCCACGTCTCCCCGTGCCGGTGCCCACGTCGGGCTGGGAAGAAGCTGCTTTTCCTGGAGCCGCATCCACGCTGTGACCTTTGCTGCCTGACACGTCCAAAGTGTCCCCAGAGCCCTCACGTCCCTCGCCCCTCGTCCCCAGCCCTGCCACGCTGCCAGGTGTCACCACGGCGTTTCGGTGCTGGCCCTTGTGACCTGCAGCCTCCTCCTCCACCCCCCCGCCGCACTGCAGGACCCCCCCTGTGCAGAGGGTGACCCGAGGGGGTGGGTGGCAGCCCCCAGTCCTGACGCCATGAGCTGGGGCCAAGCGTTTCCAAAGCCTGCGGTCCCCAAAGAGCCACCCCGGGCAAGGGGTGCCCGGAGCATCCCTCCTGCAGCAGCCCCGCCAGCCCGAATCCTGCACCGGGAGAGACGCAGCAGGGAGGGACGTCTGGGGAGCAGCAGGGCTTACCCTGAAGGCTTCTGTGGAGGGCTCCTCGCCCTTGCTGTTTGCGACAGGAGCAGGGTCGAGGGATGGAGTTGGCGCTGGGGCCGCCTTCTCCTTCTCCTCCGCAGCCTGGCCGGGAGCAGCGGGTTTTGTGGTCTCAGACATCGCGGTGTTGGGCTCAAGTCTGGGATGGGGCACCAGCAGCAGGTTAGAGGGGATGCGTGGCCGTGGGCACCCCACCAGCCCCCTACCCCTCGCCCTGCCCCGGGGACGGTGGCATTGGGGTGAGGGGTTCAGCAATAGGGCGGGCGGCTGGGGCTGGGAAGGTGCCTGAAGCTCTCCAGTGGGCACCGGGAGCCGGTGGCCTCCCAGACGAGTGTCACCAGCGGGTGCCGGGGGAGCAGAGAGCGGTGGGATACTGAGCAGCGGGGTGCTCCCGGAGTCGGTGGCCACAGCGGTGGTCACGGCTGAGACCCTGTGTTTCCCTCTCCCCCCCTCGGGTCTGGCTGCAGCCCAGTGCCCGGGGACTTTGTCCTCTTACCTGGGCAGCTGCTGCTTCTTGTTGGAGTGAGCGGGCTTGTGTTTCGGGGCGCAGTGAGGCCCCCACTTTATAGCCTGGCAAGGGCAGACCCCCAGGCGGGCGCACAAAGGAACTGCCGGCTCATCAGTGTCTGCGCGGCCGCCCAGTCATCACATCTTGCA